AATGTATTTGGATTTAAATTAAAGATAAAAGTCCATTTTGCATGAGTATAATTGTGTGTGTATGTATTTCTGCTGCCACTTTTAAGTGTAACATATATATATATATGGATATGGTCATGCCTTATTATTGCCTTTGAAATAATTTACTTTACTATTCTCCGTTGTATTATATGATAATTGCAAAGGAGTGAAAATATGGTTATATATATATATAATTTTATTTGTTTTATATAATATTTTATGAGCCCTCAAATCAAACATGAACTAAGTGATAAGTTTAAATTCAATTTTTTAATTAAATTTTTAGTTTGAAACAATAAACAAGCTACATCCCCTTTTCTTTTCCCAACTTGCCCTTACACCCTAGATCCTATAAGGTACGTATTCAAGTTTCTCCAACTCAAATTTATTTCTCTTATTAAAAGTTCCTTAAAATGCTAGTTTTGAATATATTGGAGAGAGACACTTATCGTCGTTCGTTACGTTGGTTGAAGATTGTTTATGGCTTTGCTCAAGATTTATCTAATTGTTCTTTTAGTTAAATTTTGTTAAGCGTATGGGAAATAAACTTGCCAACGCTATTGCGCATCTTTCATGTAACGATTCTATGGAGGCTATTTAGCCTGCTAATAAAAGTGGTTTTGTTTTAAAAAAAATGAAATAAAAAATAAATAAAAAATCTAACTTTCACCTCTAGATATCTCACACAAATTTTATAAATAAAGATCCTATATAGAGCATAAATCACACACACTCACACACATATATATATATATATATATATATATATATATATATATATATATATATATATATATATATATATATATATGCGCAAATGTTTCCAAAATGTAATCGACTAACATAGTTTTATTTGGATTTATATATTAAAACTACAAATTATAATTGAAACATTTAGATTTTCAAACATATTTCTCTCTTCAATATTTAAATTTGAAATTCGACTCGAGTTCGATCCAACAAGAAATTTGATAATACGTAATTCGTCAAACAAGAAGGTCATATTTGTAATTTGATAATACTTTAAGGACTGTGGATGGATATAACATACCCTAATTTTTAAAATTCGCAACTTTCTAAATCAATTACCCCCCCTTAATTTAAATATTTTTATTTAGTATTTGGGAAAATATAGCTGGAGATTCCTTTTATTTATTTAGGATTTGATTTCCACGTATATATGCCACATAGAACTTTCTAGATCTAATAATTTTAGTACGCGTATTCTAAACAAACTTTCTCTCAAAACAAAATATCTCAAAATATCTCAAAATAAACTAGAATCTCTCTATATATATATATATATACATACACACCGCGAACAACATACAGCAATATTCGCAACTAATAAACAAGAAAGAGAAAGAGAGATCATCTAGAGAGAGAAAAAGATCTAGAGAGAGAGAATGGAGATTACTAGACGTAAATATTCACCAGGTTATCGATTCATCCCAAAGTATGAATATCTAAATATCAGCATTGATTACTTGTTGAAGAAGTTCGGCAATCAGCCGATTCCCGTCGACGTTGACGATACCGGAGTTGTCGATTCTTACAAACGTAATCCGTTAATTAATTCAGGTTTGTTCATCAATTTAATTAATTACTAGATCTCTTTTCTTTTATCTTTGTTTAATTTTTTTTTATTGTTTTTATGATTATGTTGGGTTAGGGTTTAATTAACGATCTTCACCTAGGGTTTCATTAATTACGGTATTTATTAGTTTTTTTTTTAATGATCAGATCTAGTTCCACTAGCCGTTTCGATTTTCTGTTAGGGTTATTAGGGTTTCATTAATTACGGTATTTATTAGTTTTTGTTAATGATCAGATCTAGTTCCGGTTTCGATTTTCCGTAAGGGTTATTAGGGTTTTATGCAGATCTTCGTCTAGGGTTAATTGTTCATGTTCTGGTTTAGGGTTTGATTGATTAAATTTCTACATGCAAATTGTTGAACGTGAAAAATTAATCGATACGTATATGTATATATATACAGGTCGACATTCTCCACTTGGACATAGTAACGAATGGTACTTTTCGGCATTGAGGAATAAAAAGAACCCGAATCGATCGAAGCTCGATCGGAAGGCCAACAATGGATACTGGAGGGCTATCAGAGCAGATAAACCAATTTATAATCGTAGGGAGAAAGGATTACGGAAGTGATTTCCGGTATGTCTTCGATCATTAGGGTTTCTACATAGGCGCACGCGCATGGGAGCTTCTCGTATATACTCCTTTCGGAGCATTGATGTAATAGTTTTCGATAGGACTTTACTTTTGTCGTATCCCCGATTTTAATTCCTTGACTTTATTTTTTTGGAATAAAAATCTTTTTGGCCGAAAAAAATAATAAAGTTGAAGAGATCGATCACTTGTAAAAACCCCAAATTATATATATAGTAGAACCTCGATAAATTAATAACCTTGGTTAAGTAATAATTTCTTCTGGTCCCGGATCGGTAAAAATATATTAAATTATTAGTTTGATAATTTAATATTTCGCTAAATTAATAGAATTATTTTGCTAGTCATTAATATATAGACGGTTTAACTGTACATACATATGTATATATATTGTCCATATATATTCAGCCACAACACTTAAAATTTAAGATTTCGACTATTTACGAATTAATTTTCCGGTTTTCTAGAGGGGTCGAAATTCAATACCTTCGACTACGAGCCCGGATTTGCCTTCCGGGTTGTGAATTTCAGTCAACCATGCCTCGACGACCTCACCGTATTCTTCGCTATAGCCGTTGTAGAACTTTCCCATTTCTATCTCCATCCATCCATCGCCTCTTGTTCTCGCTATTTTCCCGGTTTCTCTGGATTCAAAATTCCCGTTTTTGCTCGTATTACTTATTGATTGATGATTTTTGAGAAATCGTACTATGGTTTTCGATGATCTAAGGCCGTCCATCCTCTCTAACAAGAACACCATGTACGCGGCGTAGTTCGTGTTTTGAGACAACATTCGAGTTGTTATCTTGCCTTGAATGTGTATCCATCCTATCGATTGTAGTTTCGCCACCTCTGAAAATCTGCAAATTATATAGTTGATTCTTATGGCCATTAATTCATATATATAAACAAACACTTATAATTAATTAAGAAAAAAAATAACTGAACAGTGCTTCATTTAAAAGTTTAAATAATTTATTTTCCAAATTAAGAATAATTAATTAATTAAATAAAAAAATTTGTAACATCAAGAACCTGGATTTTGCATTCGGCGTAAAATCCCAACAGCCTTTCCATGAAATCGCAAGTTCCCTTGCTCCAACCATAAAACACTTCTTTCCATTTCTTTTGTCCAGATAAAAGCTCTATTTAACATACAAAAAAATGTTTATATATATATATATATATATATATATATGAATCATGAGATTGAAATATTGTTACCATTTTGGCGCCATTAATAAGGATTGGAGAGTCACAAAGACTGAAATAAAGGTCTTTCTTGGTGTCACATTTGAGTAGAGGAGAAACCGATGTTGAAATTATTTCTCGATAATCTGGCGGCAAAAATCTCCCCCATACGTAGTCGCCTTCGGCCGCAGATTTGAATTGTTTCGATAGAATAGATGCTCTTGTAGCATCCAAAGCTGATGTAAGTGACAGAATTTCTGATATGCATCCCTCCGGCAACCTTGCAAAACAGTCCATCTCTCTCTCTCTCTCTCTCTCTCTCTCTCTATCTATAGATGGAAGAATATAATGTGTTTATTGATAGCTGGTCAATTTAATTTCCATGACAGTTGAACTACAAAGACTTTTAGGCATGTTGGTACAATTTTGCTAATTACATAGCATGGTGTTTGGTGTGAAATTAATAAATTTAATTTGCTAATTGTCCTACCTAATTTAGTAGCCAAATTGATTTAATAAATTTTATTTTCTCTTGGAATATAATCGAAACTAAAACAACCATGATCACCCAACGATTCGTTAGTCGCAAGCTACTATTATGATTCGGGTTCGCACCTCATATATACCCAGAACCGACTCGTGTATGTATCGGCTGATTAGGGATGGGTATATCCGACGGCGGATCTAGTATATGGTTCCACGGTGTGCAGTTGCATCCACACCCTTGAATTGAAATAAAATGTTATACATATATAAATAAAATTAATATAGATATTTTTCTAATATTTAAAATTCTAAAGAGTACAACCTAAATTTTTATTAAAAAAATTTCAATATTTTAAATTCTTCCCAAAAATTTCGAAATAATTTCTTTCAAAATCGTAGGCCAAATATGCACTCTTCTACTCTAATTTTTTTTCATGACTCTGTCATTACGCATCGTCGACACCGACAAATTATAATACATCGCCACTAATCGACCACTAAAATTTCAAACACCCTTGGCTAGTTAAAAATTCTACCTTTTTCATTGGGTGTATTTTAACCATAGTAGTTAAACTCGCGAGATATATACCGCGATATATATCGCGAAACGATACGGTCCCAATCAAAACGATACAACTCATAATATGTATCGGCTATGCATAAATACCGTTAAATATCGTGAGATATCGTACCGTATCGTCATATTGATACGATCTCTTGTGTATCATAAATATTTCCTACGAAACGTAAGATCTATTCTTTAATATTTCTCTCTGCATAATAAAACCCTAGCACAATACGACTATTTAAAGAGAATAAAACCCTAGAATTCTAATCTAACTAGGAAACATAATTACCTATACTAATTAAATACTTAATATATATCCTAAACCTAAACACACGGCTATGTATATAATAAACCTAACAAACTATTCTAATTAATTAATAATAAAAATACTAACTATCTAATAATTAAACGATATATATTAATATATCGTATCAAACCACCCCTCTTGAAATGAACCTTGTCCTCAAGGTTCGAGCCAATTTGGTCCCTCTCCTTTGCGTTTCCACCTATGTTTGACTTCATCGATTTGTTCATCGACTTGCTTCCGAATTAACTCCAAAAAACACGATGAAAAATTGAGCTCTTTTCCAAAGATGAACCTATCTGCCCGACTTAAATTTCTCAATCTCTTTCCCGCCAAATCGACCGACAAATCGACCTTCTCAATTGCCTTTTTAAATTTCATCTCCTTCACAATCAATATCATGCTTTTATTTTTCTCAATCGTCCTTTCAGATTTTGTCTCCTCCAAACTGACCATCGGTTCTTCATCTCCTTTCTTTTGAACACCATGGAAATCTCCGAATATCCATAGTAACTCTTCGCTCTCCTCTCTGGTTAATTTCTCGTCTTCGTCCCACTTTACCTCGGTTGACTCCGATTCTTCTTCTTTAGGCTCTTCGTTCCACTTCATCTCAGTTGAATCAGATTCCTCTTCTTCTGGCGAACTCACAAAAAATTGGAGTTCTTCGAAAAAGTCATCGTCGTCCTCTTCCTCTTCTTCCGGCGATAGGCTCGGCAGCGGCGGCGGCGGTGGCTCTTTGAAAAATTCATCGTCGTCCTCTTCCTCTTCCTCCGGCGATAGGCTCGGCAGCGGCAGCGGCGGTGGCGTTGGCGGTAATGGGCGGCGGTCCCTTCGACTTTTGTGTTGGTGTTGACGTCGTCTGTGACTTTGTTCGAGCAATTTCTGAAAATCAATCCGTAATTTCTCAACGGATTTCTCCAATCGCTCCAACCGTCTTGTTTCTGACATCATAATTTTCACAAAGTTTTGATGTGATCTCAACTTTGCTCCAGCTTAGCTTTGATATAATCGCTGCCTTGCTAACGAAGCGTTGGTGTTAATCGCAACTTCGCTCTGATACCAATTGATGCGATCTCTTGTGTATCATAAATATTTCCTACGAAACGTAAGATCTATTCTTTAATATTTCTCTCTGCATAATAAAACCCTAGCACAATACGACTATTTAAAGAGAATAAAACCCTAGAATACTAATCTAACTAGGAAACATAATTACCTATACTAATTAAATACTTAATATATATCCTAAACCTACTAACTCACGCCATATATATATAATTAAATATATCAATCTAATTTAATTAATAATAAAATATTAACTAACTAATAATTAAATAATGTATCCCAACACATATCACGATACGATATTTACGATATTAGTCAAAAAATTAAAAAAAATTAAAAAAATTAAAAAAAATTAAAAAAAAAAAGATGGAAACGAAATATTCACATTTTCAGGGCCTGAAAACGAATTTTAATATTATTTAATGTTTTTTACACATATTAGATCCAAGAAATTTACATGCCAAGTTTTATATTGATAAGAGAAAATAGGAAAATGCCAAAGTTGGAGTTGATGAAGTTAAAGAGATTGATGAACATGAGGATGAAGACACCCGTTTGAAATTGGTGGATGAAAAAAATTTAAGTTACATTGATCTTGAAGATTATGAGTGATAGATTAGTTTATTTACATATTAGAGATCAAAATTTGAACTTTGTTGATGTTATTTTTATGAGCAGTTATGACTTATGTCCTATTTTATGATAGATTGTTTTTTTTAAGAAATTAGAAATGAGTGGTTTGACTTGAAAATATTAAACTTTACATTTTTATAGTATTTTTATTATATATATATATATATATATATATATATATATATATATATATATATACGATACGATACGATACACAGAGGAAAACGATACGCCGATATTTTCCGATTCGATAACCATGTTTTTAACCCGTGAATCGTTGGTTCCGACTGCGGTTAATTCCGATATGTGGGATAACTAGATGGTCGTTACATATATTTAAAAAAAAAAAAACAAATAAGAAAATTACAATCGTGAATTATCTGAATCGGGCCGATAACCATTGCTTGAACGGGCATGGAACCGACTAGATCTGGCCACGGTTCGGTTCGGTTCCGGTTCCGGTTCCAATTTTGGAGGAACCGGAACTGAATCGAAAAAATCCGGTTCCTTGCGGTTTGGTTCCTAACCGGTTTCGGTTCGGTTCCAATTCAGTTCCCGGTTAGAACCGTAGAACCGTCCGGTTCTTAATAATTTTTTTTTATTATATATATATATATTATAAAAAAATAGTTCCTTTCTTTAATTAAAGTGGAAAGTATATTTAAAAAGCTTAATTTTTTTTAATACGTAAAATATTTTTTGTTTAATTTGATCGTTGGAATTATTTTTCTTAATACTTAAAAATATATATATATATATAAATATATATATATATATATATATATATATATATATATAGAGAGAGAGAGAGAGAGAGAGAGAGAGAGAGAGAGAGAGAGAGAGAGAGAGAGAGAGAGAGAGGAAATTCATATTTTCTATTTTTTTTTTGAAAACCGGTTCAACCGGTTAGAACCGACCCATAAACCGGTTGTTCCAATCACTATTAATAAATTTTACTAAATAAATTTTATTTTGGAGGGAACTCGTTAGTTTTGAGCGGTTTATTTATTTTTATTTTTGAATGTTCTTTCATTCAAAAGAGCTATAATATTGCAACCATATCTTCAAAATATATATTTAATCACGCAAAAATAAAACTATTAATTTTGTGCAAACGTGATGAGCCCGGGAAGCACAAAACTCTATCTCTAAGAATCCTAAATGCAAACAAAGTCTAACTTATTAATTAATATATATAAAAATATATAACTACATAAGTATATAATATATATAATATATATACTAGTAGTAAAGCCTCAGCTAAATCACAATTCATTATAATTATTAATGGACAATCAGGCGTACATTGCACCAAAATCGGAGAAGATGGAATCTTGTTCAACCTCCGGCGAAGCAGTGATTCCGGCGGCGGATGATAAACCTAAATATCCGCCGGGTTACCGCTTTGTGCCAAAGGACGCAGAACTCATCGTCGACTATCTAGAGGTGAAGATCAAAAATCTGCCGATTCCACTCGATGAAATAAACGATGTTCATCTTTACGAACACCATCCTCAATTCTTGGCAGGTTTGTATTTTTAATCCCTTTTTTTTATTTTTTATTTTATTTATTTAGTGAGTGTTGCGAACGTTCGTTTGCTTAAAGTTTTTCAGGTGCCTAACTGTTGGCTCCACAGTTAGGGTTAGGGTTTTCAATGTAACTATATTCAAGATGATGACGTGTCAAATATTAAACAGTTTTCATGTTAGGTTTAATATAGTAATTTTTTATTAATTTTTTATATTTTATTTTGGTAATTATCTATTAATTTATAGACTTTAGCCCCCAAAATTTAAATTTTGTACATTTTAGCTAATAAAAAATATTTTTTACCTTCTCTTAATTCACATCAATATTTTAGCCCCCACAAAAACCCCCCTAGATCCGCCCCTGTAATAATATATATACAATTTTACCGAGGTCGTTAGTAATCGAGTTGAGTTTAAACGAGCTTTTAATCGATACGAATACGTGTCGACTACATGAAAATTTTGATTATATATCATTAATTAATTTTTCTTGACATACTTTTCACTGCCACGTCAACTCCACCATTAGGTTTAGGGTTTTCAAAGTAACTTTTAATTTAACATTCGTGTATATATATATAGAAAATATAATGTGCATGCAATTTGCTAATTCTTTTTTCTTTTTTATTTATTTAATTTTTTGGGAAAGATAACAACCCTCAACTTGGAGAAAAAGAGTGGTACTTCTTCACACCGAGGGATCGAAAGTATCAAAACGGACAACGGCCTAGTCGATCGGCAGGCAATGGCTACTGGAAAGCTACTGGTTCCGATAAAGTGATCTCTTCCGGGGGTAAAATCGTCGGATACAAAAAGTCTCTCGTTTACCACGAAGGGAAACCCCCAGCAGGAATCAAGACTAACTGGATTATGCACGAATACAAAGTCAATCAGCCCGGTCGAGCAAAAACCTGTCCTACCGATATGAGGGTATACAATCTCAAACCCTAATTAAAACCCTAATTTTCACTACACGAATATCACTTTCATTTTTTTTCGATAAGAAAATATATATATTTTTGTTATTTTACTTTTTTGCAGCTAGACGATTGGGTTTTGTGTCGGTTATATATAAAATCCGAAAGGGCAAACAACAAGCGAAAGAGAGGTGACGAAACTGCCCAATTAGTGAAAGAAGAAGACGAAGAAAATAATGAAAATCAAGAAGATCAAGAAGGAGAAGAAGCCGCCGAGACGAATTCCGGAAATGAAGATCAAGAAGCCGCCGAGACGAATCCCGGTAATTATAACGAACACGCCACTATTGGTAGTAACGAATACGCCAATAATATTTGTTATATCGAATACCCCAATAATATTTGTTATAACGGATTTGGCGAAACTATTAATAATACGGATACTCTGTTATTCGATCCCGTCTCCCCCTTCTGCACCAACATCGAAGACCATCTAGTGGACACACCTCCTCAAGTTTATAATTTGCCTCCATCTTCGACTTTTCCCGATTATCCTCAAGTTTATAATTTGCCTCCATCTTCGACTTTTCCCGATTATCGCAACGACAGTCCAGTATTGAGTGATAATTATAATCGGCCCCCACATTACATCCAGCCGCCGGCGCAAGTTTATTTCGAGAATCATCGGAGCGTGCACATGCCTTATGATATCGATTATCCGAGATACCAGTTCATGGAAACTCCCGGAACATTCCAGAACAGTCACGGGAATCAAGGAATCAGTCACGGGAATCAAGGAATCTACGAACGAGCTCCTTCGTCGTTTGGTAGTTCGTCTTTACCTTCGACCTGTACTACTGGTGCCTCCGATCCTACGGCAAAACCTCAGGATAATTGTAATTATCACCCTGATTATAATCAGTCGATGCCGAGGAAAAGACGTCATTAGTAGGCGTAAATGTCTTTAGCGAAAAGACGTCATTAGTAGGCGTAAATATGTTTAGCTTTACTGTTTTTTTTTTCCGACTAATTACAAACTTATCGTAGATTTCGATTTCGTTTTTTTGGTATTTATGGAGTTTGGAGTAGGTTTTTTAAATATCATAAAGTATATATGATTAATTACATCTGCATTAAAAAATCATGCAACCCTATTTACCTATTTAATTCAGAAGACAAAAAATAAAATTCGCATCGTCACAAACTCCTCTGCAGCAGAAGGATGAATACCAATCTGATAGAATATCAAGAACATTATAATTAATTAATTAATCAAAAAAATTTGCCATAACTTTTAGTTTATATACCTCTTCTGGTAACTTTGACGAATAATCGATAAATATATATTTTCATATTAAATAAGTCGATGAAACTTAATTACCGTGCTGTCAAATTGAGCTTTGGTTGCTCCACATTTGAGTGCAACAGCAACACCCTGTTAAAACAAATCCAGAAATATTTGCCTTCTTTTAATGATTAAATTGATGTGCAATACTTTATATTTTGAAAAATAAAAAAGAGGGAAATAATTGTAATAATATACGAAGTGAATTTTACCTGCATACACATGGACGCTCCAAGAACTTTATCACTCTCGGCATCGACTACTAGCTTCATCATCGTCTTCTCTTGGCGTCTTTCCAAAAAACAAAAAAATAATAATAATTAAAACAAATGCATAACCATAGTAATAAATAAAATAAAATTAAAATATACCCCGAAATGGTGTTCTTCATTGGATTAAATGTCGAAGTAAAAACCAAAATATCGCCATTTGAATTCTCCAAAGCTTGACAACTAACTACCTAAGTCCATAGTCGAGCATTCCACTATTGACACTATTTTAAAAAGATAAATTTCAGGAAAATACAGGAAATTAAGAATAAACCGGTTCCAAATCTTCGATGAAATACATATCCCAAGCACAGCATTCACGGTTAGAAGTAGCAAATCTATTGTGAGTAAACCTAATATTCATATTAACTCCTCCAATAGTTTCAGAGCTGATAGGATGAAATGGAAGCTCGCAGATACCAACCTGTAACACGACACATTTTTTAGTAACAGATCAATTACAAGCACATGGCACTACGTAAATAAAAATCATAAATAAATATTTAAAAAAAAACCAAGCAATGGACGAGGAAAAATATATAAAACGAAGCCCCTTTTTGCTCGTTTTATTTTTTGATTGATTTTCGAGAAATCTTACTACGGTTTTCGATGATCTAAGGCCGTCCATCCTCTCTAATGAGAACACCATGTACGCGGCGTAGTTCGTGTTTTTAGACAGCATTCGAGTTTTTATCTTGCCTTGAATGCGTATCCATCCTATTGATCTTAGTTTCGCCACCTCCGAAAATCTGCAAATTATATTCGATTTTTATGCTCATTAATACAAACAAACACCTACAATTAATTAAGAAAAAGTTAATCGAATACGATTAATGCTTCATTTAAAATTTAATTCATTTACATTCCAAATTACGAATAATTAATTAATTAAATAAAATTTGTAACATCAAGAACCTGGATTTTGCATTCGGCGTAAAATCCCAACAGCCTTTCCAAGAAATCGCAAGTTCCCTTGCTCCAACCATAAAACACTTCTTTCCATTTCTTTTGTCCAATAAAAGCTCTATTTAACATACAAAAAATTGTTTATATATATATATATATATATATATATATATATATATATATAAATCATGAGATTGAAATATTGTTACCATTTTGGCGCCATTAATAAGGATTGGAGAGTCACAAAGACTGAAATAAAGGTCTTTCTTGGTGTCACATTTGAGTAGAGGAGAAACCGATGTTGAAATTATTTCTCGATAATCTGGCGGCAAAAATCTCCCCCATACGTAGTCGCATTCCGCCGCAGATTTGAATTGTTTCGATAGAATCGATGCTCTTGTAGCATCCAAAGCTGATGTAAGTGACACAATTTCTGATATGCATCCCTCCGGCAACCTTGCAAAACAGTCCATCTCTCTCTCTCTCTCTCTCTCTCTCTCTCTCTCTCTCTCTATACATAGAAGAATATAATGTGTTTTTTGTTAGCCGGTCAATTTAATTTCCATGACAGTTAGAACTACAAAGACTTTTAGGCATGTTGGTACAATTTTGCTAATTACGTAGCATGGTGTAAAATTAATAAATTTAATTTGCTAATTGTCCTACCTAATTTATTAGCCAAATTGATTTAATAAATTTTATTTTCTTAGGAATCGAAACTAAAATAACCATGATCACCCTCCGATTCGTTAGTCGCAAGGTACTATTACCGTTCGGGTTCGCACCCCATATATACCTAGATGAAATCGGCATGTGGTCAACATATGTGGTCAACGATCCAGAACCCACTCGTTTATGTATCCAACGGCGGATCTAATATATGGTTCCACGGTGTGCAGTTGCATCCACACCCTTGAATTGAAATAAAATGTTATATATATATATATATATATATATATATATATATATATATATATATATATATATATATATATATATAAATTAATATAGATATTTTTCTAATATTTAAAATTCTAAAGAGCACAACCTAAAATTTTATTAAAAAAATTTCAATATTTTAAATTCTTCACAAAAATTTCAAAAGAATTTGTTTCAAAATCGTTGGTCAAATATGCACTCTTCTACTCTATTTTTTTTTCATGACTCTGTCATTATGCATCGTCGACACCGACAAATTATAATACATCGCCACTAATCGACCACTAAAATTTCAAACACCCTTGGCTAGTTAAAAATTCTACCTTTTTCATTGGGTGTATTTTAACCATAGTAGTTAAACTCGCGAGATATATACCGCGATATATATCGCGAGACGATATGGTCCAAATCAAAACGATACAACTCATAATATGTATCGGCTATGCATAAATACCGTTAAATATCGTGAGATATTGTACCGTATCGTCATATCACGATACAATATTTACGATTAGTCAAAATATTAAAAAAAATTAAAAAAAAAGAAAAAAAAAAGATGAAAACGAAATATTCACATTTTCAGGGCCTGAAAACAAATTTTAATATTATTTAATGTTTTTTACACATATTAGATCCAAGAAATTTACACGCCAAGTTTTATATTGATAAGAGAAAATAGGAAAATGCCAAAGTTGGAGTTGATGAAGTTGAAGAGATTGATGAAGACACCCGTTTGAAATTGGTGGATGAAAAAAATTTAAGTTACATTGATCTTGAAGATTATAAGTGATAGATTAGTTTGTTTACATATCAGAGATCAAAATTTGAACTTTGTTGATGTTATTTTTATGAGCAGTTATGACTTCTGTCCTATTTTATGATAGATTGTTTTTTTTTTAAATTAGGAATGAGTGATTTGACTTTAAAATATTAAACTTTACATTTTTATAGTATTTTTATTATATATATATATATATATATATATATATATATATATATATATATATATATATATATATATATATATATATATATATATATATATATATATATATATATATATATATATATATATATATATATATATATATATATATTTTTTTTAAAATATCAATAACTATATATAATTTCAAAAGAA